GCAGCACGTGTCTGCGGTGGCAGCACAGACGGTCTGCCAGAGGGCACGTCTGAAGCTGCGCAGACAGAGACACAGGGAGCAGTGGTGAGGTTGGTGGGGAGTGAGTGGGTGAGTGGGTTGGTGGGTGGGTGAGTGGCTGAGTGAGTGAGTGAGTGGCTGAGTGAGTGAGTGGGTTGGTGAGTGGGTTGGCGGGTGAGTGAGTGGGTTGGTGAGTGTGGTGAGTGGGTTAGTGGGTGGGTGAGTGGGTTGGTGAGTAAGTGGGTCGGTGAGTGAGTGGGTGAGTGGGTGAGTGGGTGAGTGGGTTGGTGGGTGAGTGGGTTCGTGAGTGGGTTGGTGAGTGAGTGAATTAATGGGTGAGTGCCTGAGTGAGTGGCTGAGTGAGTGGCTGAGTGAGTGGGTTGGCGGGTGAGTGAGTGGGTGAGTGGGTTGGTGAGCGAGTGGGTTGGTGAGTGAGTGACTTAATGGGTGAGTGGCTGAGTGAGTGAGTGAGCATCTCACAGTTTGCTCTGAACTCTGTAGGTGACATTCAGGAACGTTGAGTTGGTGGTGGTGGTGGAGTTGATGCTTGAAGGGTCAACAGGTGGGGGTCTCTCTCCTCCACCCCCCACAGGAGCCACTTCAACGGGGTCCCAGCAAAGCGTCGCCAGGAGGTCTTGAGACTCCAAACGCACATTCAGTAGATACGGCGCAACTGGGCAGATGGGAAAACAACACTCACACACAGTGCGCTAACCACTGCACCACCACTCCCTACTCACACACAGTGCGCTAACCACTGCACCACCACTCCCCACACACACACAGTGCGCTAACCACTGCACCACCACTCACACACACACAGTGCGCTAACCACTGCACCACCACTCCCCACACACATACAGTGCGCTAACCACTGCACCACCACTCACACACACACAGTGCGCTAACCACTGCACCACCACTCCCCCCACACACACAGTGCGCTAACCACTGCACCACCACTCACACAGTGCGCTAACCACTGCACCACCACTCACACACAGTGCGCTAACCACTGCACCACCACTCCCTACTCACACACAGTGCGCTAACCACTGCACCACCACTCCCCCCCACACACACACAGTGCGCTAACCACTGCACCACCACTCCCTACTCACACACAGTGTGCTAACCACTGCACCACCACTCCCCACTCACACACACACAGTGCGCTAACCACTGCACCACCACTCACACACAGTGCGCTAACCACTGCACCACCACTCCCCCCACACACACACAGTGCGCTAACCACTGCACCACCACTCCCACACACACACAGTGCGCTAACCACTGCACCACCACTCCCCCACACACACACAGTGCGCTAACCACTGCACCACCACTCCCCACACACACACAGTGCGCTAACCACTGCACCACCACTCACACACACACAGTGCGCTAACCACTGCACCACCACTCCCCACACACACACAGTGCGCTAACCACTGCACCACCACTCACACACACACAGTGCGCTAACCACTGCACCACCACTCCCCCCACACACACAGTGCGCTAACCACTGCACCACCACTCACACACAGTGCGCTAACCACTGCACCACCACTCACACACAGTGCGCTAACCACTGCACCACCACTCCCTACTCACACACAGTGCGCTAACCACTGCACCACCACTCCCCCCACACACACACACAGTGCGCTAACCACTGCACCACCACTCCCTACTCACACACAGTGTGCTAACCACTGCACCACCACTCCCCACTCACACACACACAGTGCGCTAACCACTGCACCACCACTCACACACAGTGCGCTAACCACTGCACCACCACTCCCCCCACACACACACAGTGCGCTAACCACTGCACCACCACTCCCCACACACACACAGTGCGCTAACCACTGCACCACCACTCCCCACACACACAGGGCGCTAACCACTGCACCACCACTCACACACACACACACAGTGCGCTAACCACTGCACCACCACTCACACACACACAGTGCGCTAAACCACTGCACCACCACTCACCACACACACACAGTGCGCTAACCACTGCACCACCACTCACACACACAGTGCGCTAACCACTGCACCACCACTCCCTACTCACACACACAGTGCGCTAACCACTGCACCACCACTCCACACACACACAGTGCGCTAACCACTGCACCACCGCTCCACACACACACACAGTGCGCTAACCACTGCACCACCACTCCCCCCACACACAGTGCGCTAACCACTGCACCACCGCTCCCCCCCCACACACAGTGCGCTAACCACTGCACCACCACTCCCCCCACACACAGTGCGCTAACCACTGCACCACCGCTCCCCCCCCCCCACACACAGTGCGCTAACCACTGCACCACCGCTCCCCACACGCACACAGTGCGCTAACCACTGCACCACCGCTCCCCACACACACACAGTGCGCTAACCACTGCACCACCGCTCCCCACACGCACACAGTGCGCTAACCACTGCACCACCGCTCCCCACACACACACACAGTGCGCTAACCACTGCACCACCGCTCCCACCCCCACACACACAGTGCGCTAAGAAGTGCACCACCGCTCCCCACACACACACAGTGCGCTAACCAGTGCACCACCGCTCCCCACACACACACAGTGTGCTAACCAGTGCACCACCGCTCCCCACACACACACACAGTGCGCTAACCAGTGCACCACCGCTCCCCACACACACACAGTGTGCTAACCAGTGCACCACCGCTCCCCACACACACACAGTGCGCTAACCACTGCACCACCACTCCCCACACACAGTGTGCTAACCACTGCACCACCACTCCCCACTCACACACACACAGTGAGCTAACCACTGCACCACCGCTCCCCTCACACACACAGTGCGCTAACCACTGCACCACCACTCCCCACACACACACAGTGCGCTAACCAGTGCACCACCGCTCCCCACACACAGTGTGCTAACCAGTGCACCACCGCTCCCTACACACACAGTGTGCTAACCAGTGCACCACCGCTCCCCACACACACAGTGTGCTAACCAGTGCACCACCGCTCCCCACACACAGTGACCTCCTCACCGTGTGAGCACGTGACGAGGAGGGGCTGCAGGAGGGAGAGGAAGAGGAGGCCAAGGGCGGGGGAGAGTCTCCTGCACGACGCCATCGACTCCACACAAAGTCACGAGGTGCAGGCAGAATCGATTTAAGGTTCGATTAACTACACCCGCGTCGATTCCCATTGGGATAACATGGGAATCGATTCCAGGCGAGTAATGGATGTCTGGAGTCCATTCCCATTGGGATAACATGGGAAACGATTCTCAGTCTAATCGCGTGGGAATCGAACAAGATAGACGAACACGTGGGTAGGCGTGGTTTCTCTCTCAAACTTATCGATCTTTCGATTTATCGATCTTTCACCACTTGTTATTGATCTGTGTAAGATCGTCGCCAGCCAGGTAGGCTGCTGTGGTGTTCTCTACAGCTGTGCCTGCTGCTGGTGCTGGTGGTGGTGGTGCTGGTGGTGGTGGTGGTGGTGCTGGTGGTGGTGCTGGTGGTGGTGCTGGTGGTGGTGGTGGTGGTGCGGGTGGTGGTGCTGCTGCTGCTGGTGGTGCTGCTGGTGGTGCTGCTGCTGCTGCTGGTGGTGGTGCTGGTGGTGGTGGTGCTGGTGGTGGTGGTGGTGCTGGTGGTGGTGCTGGTGGTGGTGCTGCTGCTGGTGGTGGTGCTGCTGCTGGTGGTGCTGGTGGTGGTGGTGGTGCTGGTGGTGGTGCTGGTGGTGCTGCTGGTGGTGCTGCTGGTGGTGCTGCTGCTGGTGGTGGTGGTGGTGCTGGTGGTGGTGCTGGTGTGGTGGTGCTGCTGCTGGTGGTGCTGGTGGTGGTGGTGGTGCTGGTGGTGGTGGTGGTGCTGGTGGTGCTGCTGGTGGTGGTGCTGCTGCTGGTGGTGGTGGTGGTGCTGGTGGTGGTGCTGGTGGTGGTGGTGCTGCTGCTGGTGGTGCTGGTGGTGCTGGTGGTGCTGGTGGTGGTGGTGGTGGTGCTGGTGGTGGTGGTGGTGCTGGTGGTGCTGGTGCTGCTGCTGGTGGTGCTGGTGGTGGTGCTGGTGGTGCTGGTGGTGGTGCTGCTGCTGCTGGTGGTGGTGGTGGTGCTGGTGGTGGTGCTGGTGGTGGTGCTGCTGCTGCTGGTGGTGGTGGTGGTGCTGGTGGTGGTGCTGGTGGTGGTGCTGGTGGTGGTGCTGCTGGTGGTGCTGCTGCTGCTGGTGGTGGTGGTGGTGCTGGTGGTGGTGCTGCTGCTGCTGGTGGTGGTGGTGGTGCTGGTGGTGATCAATAAACACTTTTAAATGTCTGGGACAACTAGTGTTAGTTGCTAGGCCAGGCTGCCTCCATAGGGGCCATTTTGCGTCGTGTTTACTAATATAAATAGTCTAATAGTGTGAAATACACCGTGTTTAATACCACTAGTGTAATAGTGTGGAATGCATTGTGTTTAATACTAAAAATACTGATAGGTTACATCAGCCCACAGGTGCAGGGAGGGGCTGGGTGGGGAGGGAGGGGAGGGGCTGGGTGGGGAGGGTGAGGAGGTGGAGGGTGGGGCTGGGAGGGTGGGGTGGGGGGTATGAGGGGTGGGGCTGGGTGGGGAGGGGCTGGTCACCCCGTGGTGCCCTTATAAAACTCAACGTTTCACCTACTCACGCCGGCTTGTGCCCGCCCTCACAGTCGGGCATATTTGCGGAATACACCACATTGCCCTGGCCGTTGACCCTGCAGGCCATTGAGCGAGCAACCCAGCGTCACTACCAGCTCCCTCCGCAGCAGCAGGAATGTGTTGTGACGGTGCGGACTGCCGCGTTGTGTTTCACACGACACAGGATCGACGACGGGAGGAGAAGGGCACGGTGGATTCACGGCTCCACAAGCAGCAGCAGTAGCAGCAACAGCAGCAGCGGCAGCAGTACCAGCAGCAGCAGCAGCTACAGCAGCGGCAGCTGCAGCAGCAGCAACAGCAGCAACAACAGCAGCAGCAACAGCAGCAGCAGGAGCAGCAGCGAGAACTTGCCGACCACATGTCGCTGCGATGTGTCGCGTTGCTGTTGCTCGTCTCCGTCTCCTTCCAAGGTGATGATCACCGCCGCCGTGACCATCGGCAGCGTCCAGCAGCATCCCACCCCCCCTCATCCGCTCGTGGTTCGGCTTCACCGTGTCAATCGTCGTCTGTAGACGCGGAAGATTCGTGGCACCCCGCACACGCGAATTGGCGCTGTACGATGGGGAGTCTTTCTTTAAAAAAAGAGTCGCGATTTGCTGAGTGCTGATTTGCTGAGTGCTGATTAGCTGAGTGCTGATTTGCTGAGTGCTGATTTGATGAGTGCTGATTTGCTGAGTGCTGATTTGCTGAGTGCTGATTAGCTGAGTGCTGATTTGATGAGTGCTGATTTGATGAGTGCTGATTTGCTGAGTGCTGATTAGCTGAGTGCTGATTTGCTGAGTGCTGATTTGATGAGTGCTGATTTGCTGAGTGCTGATTTGCTGAGTGCTGATTTGCTGAGTGCTGATTTGATGAGTGCTGATTTGCTGAGTGCTGATTTGCTGAGTGCTGATTAGCTGAGTGCTGATTTGCTGAGTGCTGATTTGATGAGTGCTGATTTGCTGAGTGCTGATTTGCTGAGTGCTGATTTGCTGAGTGCTGATTTGCTGAGTGCTGATTTGATGAGTGCTGATTTGCTGAGTGCTGATTTGCTGAGTGCTGATTTGCTGAGTGCTGATTTGATGAGTGCTGATTTGCTGAGTGCTGATTTGCTGAGTGCTGATTTGATGAGTGCGACGGGCGACGCTTCGTTGGTTCCTGCACGAAGGTGGATTCCATCGTGTAAGTCGTGATCTAGCCTCGTGTACTGTACACTTCACTATACACTACACTATACACTTCACTACTACACTATACACTACTTTACACTACACTATACACTACTATACACTACACTATACACTACTATACACTACACTACACTATACACTACACTATACACTACTTTACACTACACTATACACTACTATACACTACACTACTACACTATACACTTCACTACTACACTACACACTACTTTACACTACACTATACACTACACTATACACTACTATACACTACACTATACACTACACTACTATACACTACACTATATACTACACTATACACTACACTTTACACTACACTATACACTACACTATACACTACTTTACACTACACTACTATACACTACACTATACACTACACTATACACTACACTATACACTACACTATACATTACACTACTATACACTACACTACGATACACTACAGTAATATACTCTGCACTAATATATACTGCTGCACAATACATTATACACTACACTACTATCCTCTACACTACAGTACTATAAACTACACTATACACTACATACGCTACACTACTATACACTACACTATACACTACACTACTATACACTACACTACTTTACACTACACTATACACTACACTATACACTACACTATACACCACTATACACTACACTATACACTACACTACTATACACTACACTATACACTACACTATACACTACTATACACTACATTATACACTACACTATACACTACACTATACACTTCACTATACACTGCACTAGCAGTCTGCAGCGTGACTTGCGTGCGATGACCGTCATCGCCGTAGGCGTCGAAGCGGCGATCTCCGTGGCGGTGACCCCGCTGGTGGAGGTGGAGCTGGGAGGTCCGCTAGTGATCCCCTGCACGGTCACCAGCTCCGTGGGCGAGGAGGTGGTCACCCAGTGGTTCATTGTGAGTAGCGCCACCCCCACCCCCCACCCACACGCACACCGCCGCTTGTCACGCTCGGATACGTACGTCGTATGCCCTGCCCAGAGACTCAGCACTGTCACCCATAGACTCAGCACTGTTACACAGACTCACACTACCCATAGACTCAACACTGTCACCCAGAGACTCAACACTGTTACATATAGACTCAACATTGCTACCCATAGACTCAACACTGTCACCCATAGACTCAACACTGCTACCCATAGACTCAGCACTGTCACCCAGAGACTCAACACTGTTACATATAGACTCAACACTGCTACCCATAGACTCAGCACTGTCACCCAGAGACTCAACACTGTTACATATAGACTCAACACTGCTACCCATAGACTCAGCACTGTCACCCAGAGACTCAACACTGTTACATATAGACTCAACACTGCTACCCATAGACTCAACACTGTCACCCAGAGACTCAACACTGTTACATATAGACTCAACACTGCTACCCATAGACTCAGCACTGTCACCCAGAGACTCAACACTGTTACATATAGACTCAACACTTGCACCCATAGACTCAACACTGCTACCCATAGACTCAGCACTGTCACCCAGAGACTCAACACTGTTACATATAGACTCAACACTTGCACCCATAGACTCAACACTGCTACCCATAGACCCAGCACTGTTACACATAGACTCAACACTACCCATAGACTCAACACTGCACCATAAACTCAACACTAACCCATAGACTTAACACTGCACCATAGACTCAACACTGCACCATAGACTCAACACTGCTACCCATAGACTCAACACTACACCATAGACTCAGCACTGCACCATAGACTCAACACTACACCATAGACTTAACACTACCCATAGACTCAACACTGCACCATAGACTCAACACTGCACCATAGACTCAACACTGTCACCCATAGACTCAACACTGCCACCCATAGACTCAACACTGCACCATAGACTCAACATTGCACCATAGACTCAACACTGCCCACAGACTCAACACTGCACCATAGACTCAACACTGCACCATAGACTCAACACTGCACCATAGACTCAACACTGTCCATAGACTCAGCACTGCCCATAGACTCAGCACTGCCCATAGACTCAACACTGCACCATAGACTCAACACTGTCCATAGACTCAGCACTGCCATAGACTCAACACTGTCCATAGACTCAACACTGCACCATAGACTCAACACTGCCCCATAGACTCAACACTGCACCATAGACTCAACACTGCACCATAGACTCAACACTGCCCCATAGACTCAACACTGCACCATAGACTCAACACTGCACCATAGACTCAACACTGCCCATAGACTCAACACTGCACCATAGACTCAACACTGCCACCCATAGACTCAGCACTGCACTATAGATTCAACAATGCCACCCATAGACTCAACACTACCCATAGACTCAACACTGCCACCCATAGACTCAAGACTCAGCACTGCTACCCGTAGACTCCAACCCCCCCCCCCCCCCCCCCCGGCACAGATTTCACAATCTTCTCGAACGAGGATCTCGTACCGCGACGCGCGACTCTTCGTGGCGGACGTGGGCACCGGCTACGAGAGCCGCATCGACGCTCGGCGCAGCGACTCCGCGCTGGCGCTGAGCGCGACGGAGACCGCTGACGAGCGCCACTTCGTCTGCCAGGCGCTGGCGGGGCGCGCCGGCGTGGCCGAAGCCACCGCAAGCGTGCGGGTGTTTTGTAAGCGAGCGCACGGGGCCACTTGCTACTCCCCTACTTACGGACGTTGGGACAGAAACTATACACTACACTATACACACTATATATTATACACTACACTATACACTACACTATACACTACACTATACACTACACTATACACACTATATATTATACACTACACTATACACTACACTATACACCCTATAGATTATACACACTATACACTACACTATATACACTACACTATATACACTACACTATACACTACTATACACTACTATACACTACACTACACTATACACTACACTACACTATACACACTACACACTACACTACACTATACACTACACTATACACACTATACACTACACTATACACACTACATACTACACTATACACACTACACTATACACACTATACACTACACTATACACACTACACACGACACTACACTATACACACTACTATACACACTATACACTACACTATACACACTACTATACACACTATACACTACACTATACACTACACTATACACTACACTATACACACTACACTACACTATACACTACACTATACACTACACTATACACACTATACACACTATACACTACACTATACACTACACTATACACACTATACACACTACACTACACTATACACTACACTATACACACTATACACTACACTATACACTACACTATACATTACACTATACACACTACACTATACACACTACACTATACACACTACACTATACACACTACACTATACACACTATACACTATACACACTATATACTACACACTACACTCACTATACAACGTTTCAGAGTCAAGTTGGACTCGCAAGCAAATGGCCGATGACGACCCCGCGACCTTTGACGCACGGAGCGCCCCTCCCTCCCCCCTCCCCCCGTGTCCCTCCCCCCTCCCCTCGTCTCCCTCCCAGCGGCCCCCATGGTGGCCGTGGCGGCGACCCAGAGGCCCGTGCTGCTCACCCAGCAGCAGCAGCAGCAGCGCCACCACAAGGTGAGCAGCCCTTCGCCTACGGGGACTTTCGCTCTGTCACTTTCCTGCTGGTTTCTCCGCTCCCTGCTGCTGCTGCTGCCTGGGGGTTTTGTTGCCTTAACCGCGTCGCGGAAGCGGCCTCAAATGAGTACCTGGTGCGGTGTGTAAACATCGCCACTGGGGAGACAAAGGCGGCCGGGCGTGGTGCTGGCCTCCCACCCCCTCGTGTACCGTGCCGGGTTTCATAGGTGCTCGCTAACAGCACTTGCCCCTACAGTCTGTTAAGGCTACACGGGGGATCTTTGTTGCGTGTGTTGGTCTGTTTCCCTCTCCTGCAGATCGGTGAATGTTACGTGCGCAACGCTTACCCAGAGCCCCTCGTCACGTGGTACAAGGCGTCCGTGCCCCTGTGGCCATCACCTGGTAGGTAGATCTGTTAGTGAATGTATCTGTTGGTGAATATGTCTGCGATAGTGTAGTGTATAGTGTAGTGTATAGTGTAGTGTGTAGTGTATAGTGTAGTGTATAGTGTAGTGTATAGTGTATAGTGTAGTAGTGTAGTGTATAGTGTAGTGTATAGTGTAGTGTATAGTGTAGTAGTGTAGTGTATAGTGTAGTGTATAGTGTAGTGTATAGTGTAGTGTATAGTGTAGTAGTGTAGTGTATAGTGTAGTGTATAGTAGTGTAGTAGTGTAGTGTATAGTGTAGTGTATAGTGTAGTGTATGGTGTAGTGTATAGTTTAGTGTATAGTGTAGTGTATCGTGTAGTGCAGGGGTCGGCAACCAAAATAACAAGAAGAGCCATTTTTTTCCAATTCGGTACAAAATTCAGTATTTCAAGAGCCGCAATGCATCTATGTACATATGAAGTATGGGAATTGACGGCAGGAACTTCTTGACGGGAACACACTTTTATTAAATCTTTACGTATCAAAATACAACGTGTAGTCTCCTTCTCCGACTTCACACTCCACCACTCTCGTGTAAACTCTAGGCCTCTGGCTACACACGATACCCTTCACTCGTGTAGACCCTATGCCTCTGGCTACACAATACACTCGACTCGTGTAGACCCTATGTCCCTGGCTACACACACTGCATTCGGCTCGTGTAGACCTTATGCCTCTGGCTACACACACTACACTCGCCTCTGGGTTACACAGAGTCCCGGTCCCGTTAGGACAGCGGGACTAGGTACCGCAGGGCCCTAGGTCTTCATCCCCGTCTTCATTCTTCGCTGGTTACACACTGCCCTCACGCCTGTGTGCATCCCCTTTTATAGCCCCTGCTCACGAGAGGCGGAGCTGATGCGTACTTCAACGTGAGCATCGCTCCTTAATGAACCAATCACGACGCACTCTCTCTACGATCCGTTTTCCCCAGCGCGTGTTAACACTCCTCCACCAATCACACCGCGCTGCCACCCGATCACTCCCTCTCAGCACGTCACCGGCCCACAGCCAATCAGTACCCCGTAACCCACGACCCCGCGCTGACCCCTGATCCTCCACCGTCAGCGCGCGTCACCACCTACACAACCAATCATCACGCGCTGGCATACGATCTCTAATCCCAGCGCGTATCACCTCTACATCACCCCCTCCCACATAGCTTGCAGCCGGCCCGGCTGTTAACCAACAATACAACCTAACGTCAACGCAGTAACAAAGAAACTCCACCTCTCAGTGTGCCCCGTAACGCAACAACAACAACACAACACAACACTTAAATATGAAGCAATATACAGCCCGACGAACAACACAATAAAAGCGAACACCGGAAAACGAACGCGCCAAGTGTCTCTGTGACTAAACGCAGTGCCGAGGCGCTCCGGCTGCCTCGACTCCTCACGTGGCAGGTCACACAAAGTAGCGCGACCTAGCGCGAGTCCGTCTGGCCGGTCCGTCGTATGGGACGGGACGTTGGCGACCGTCCGGTGGCTCCGGCCGCTCAAGATCCGGCCGCCGGTGGTCGGCAGCTGTCAGTTCCGAGACACCTGGGAGCGGATCAGGCGGAGACATGTGAGGAGCAGGCAAAGACAATTCCCCCTCAGGGTCGCTGGTCACGTCACATGCTCGGCCCTCATGACACAAGGGGAGGCCATACGGAGGCGAGAACGGTTTCAGTCGGGAGGGGTGGACGTACCAACGGCGTTTTCCCCATTTTATCTGAACGCACTGGGGGCGTGCAACCCGCACGACCACCACGGGTCCCCGCCACGGCTTCAACAATTTAGGCGACGTAGCCAAAGGTGCCTGCGGGCAATGCAGCCAGGCCCTGTCACCTGGTTCCCAATTGTGCACGGACACCTTCCGTGCCCGCAACCGCTCGTTTGCAATTTGGCGAGCCCGTGAATTAAGCCGTGCGGCCTCCCTTGCCTCTGTCAGCTTATGAATATTAAATTTAATATGCTCTGCCAATTTCGAATTTGCTCGTGGTGCGGACAGACCCAGCTGCGTTTCCATGGGCGGGTCGGCTTCCCGACCGTACATCAGATAAAACGGGGAAAATCCCGTAGCTGCATGGGGGGCCATTCTATACGCGGCGAGGACCCCAGGGACCTGCAGGTCCCAATCAACATGCGCCTCACACACCTGCTGGCACAACATAGAAGTCAATGTCCTGTTAAGCCTCTCCACCATCCCGTCCGTCTGCGGGTGGTACGGGGAGGTACGCACCTTCTTGGTACCCAACAGGTCGCACACCTCTTGCAGTAATTTACTCGAAAAATTCTTCCCTTGGTCAGTCAGCAAGCGTTCGGGAGCCCCCTTGTCCAGGACGTAGCCCTGGACAAAGGCGTCCGTCACAGCCGCCGCCGACTGGTTGGCGAGTGGCCACGCCATAGGCCACCGGGTAAAATATTCGACCCCCACCAACAGGTACTTATTACCCCTAGGCGTGACCGGAAAAGGCCCCAGAATATCGAGTGCAACGAGCTCGTTAGTGCGCGAGACCTGGATGGATTGCAGCGGTGGATTAGCTGGCACAGGCGGTGGTTTCCGTCTGGCGCACTCAACACAACCCTTCAGAATATTCACCACGTCACCCCCCATTCCCGGCCAATAATAGTCACGCTGAAGCAGGGCAAGCGTTTTGTTAACTCCCAAATGCAAGAGGCGTTCATGTGCGGCCAAGACAACCTTCCCCCTCACAGCAGCAGGCACCACAATCGCATGCCGCCGGGACAAACTGTCCCATCTCATCAATAGGCCTTGCTTAAGCTCGTAGGAGCCAGTTCGGTCGTGGTTACCTTCGGAACCCCCCGTCTTGCGGCGCAATGCCAGCAGGGAGCTGTCCGCCATTTGGAGACGGCCCCACTCAATCAATGACATTGAGAGCAGCGAGTCCTGACCCCCAGGGGTAGCGGGACCATCCCCAATTGGTGTGCTCGCGGCCGCAACCAACGCCTCCCTACCTTCCGTAACCGGCGGTTTACAGCGCGCCGATCCCGATAAGCACGCACATTTGTGACAAGGCAACAACCGCGACAGGGCATCGGCATTTGTGTGTCGCAAGCCTTTACGGTACGTAGTCGTGAACTGATAGTCTTGGAGGACTTCCAACCACCGCGACAATTGGCCCGAGGGCTGGGCGACCCGCAATGAATACTGGAGCGCCGCGTGGTCCGTCCGGACCGTGAAATGACGGCCATAGAGATATGGCCTGAATTGTTGTACAAAAAAACAATGGCAAGCAGTTCGCGACGGGTGACGCAGTAGCGCTGCTCTGCCGGCGACAACACCCTGCTACCATAGGCGACCACCCGTTCGACCCCTCCAACGACTTGGGACAGCACTCCCCCAATGCCCGTGTTGCTAGCGTCCGTGTCTAGCAAGAAGGGACTCGTGAAGTCCGGATAGCGCAAGGGTGGGGCCCTAACCAAGGCGTCCCGGAGGGAGCAGAATGCAGCCTCCTCCTCCGGTCCCCATCGAAACTTCACTCCTTTCGCCGTTAGAGCGTGCAAGGGTTTTGCAATGGTGGCAAAGTGCTCAACGAATCGGCGATAATACGAAGCAAAACCGATGAAACTGCGTACGTCTGACACTGACGTGGGCGTTGGCCACGAACTGACACAGTCCGTCTTCGCAGGATCGGTAGAAATCCCCGAAGAGTCGACAATGTGACCCAAGTACCTCACGGATTTACGAAAAAGGTGGCATTTGGCCGGTTTAAACTTTAATTTAGCCGATCGCATTCGCAAGAACACCCCCCTCAATCGCTGGAGGTGTTCTTCAAACGTTTTACTGAAAACAATGACATCGTCAAGGTAAATGAGGCACGTATCCCACTGCAAGCCCGACAAAACCAATTCCATAAGACGCTGAAACGTCGCAGGAGAGGAGTGAAGTCCCATGGGTAACCGGTTAAACTGAAACAGGCCCCCTGGAGTCCGAAATGCGGTCTTAGGCTTAGACTCTTCGTCGAGTGGCAACTGCCAGAATCCGGATAATAAATCAAGAGTCGAAAAGTATTGCGCACCAGACAATGCGTCGAGAGACTCGTCCATCCTGGGGAGCGGATACGCGTCGGCCACAGAGATCTTATTCAGGCGATGGAAATCGACACAAAATCGCAGGGACCCGTCCTGCTTTTTAACGAGCACAATAGGCGCTCCCCAAGGACTGGAGGAAGGCGAAATAATGTCGGCTTCTAGCATATCGTTAACTGCCGACTGAACATGTTCCTTCTCAGCAGGACTCAGTCGGAAGGGATTTTGCCTGACCGGTGCCGCATCGCCCGTTTCAATGTGGTGGCGTAGCAGGTCCGTGCACCCAATGTCATACTTATGTTTACTGAAGACATCCGAAAATTCAATGAGCAACCCGCGCAGCGCACCCAACTGTACCGCTGACAAATCATCAGAGTCCGCGCACAGCGAATCAACCCAATCGAGGTCCTCCTTCAATGTAACGTTTTCCGTGGGACTCGCATCCGCCTGCGCAACCAGCCTCTCCTCCGCAGGGACCCGCGCCGCGTGAGCTAGCACGGTGCCCTGCTGAATGACGGCCGGCCGCGCACCAGCGTTTAAAACCATCACAAACGGATCCCTGTCAGCCCCCACCAAAGTGTGAGCCACCGACAAATCGAGACCCCCAACAGCCCTATTAGAAGGACCCAAAAGCATGCCCTGTTCAGAGGCCTCCTTCACCCATGGCTTCCGCAACCGGACGGGAATTAACATTTGTGAACCCGGGGGCACGTGCACGGTCTGTGTCGCTAACGCCTGTATGGTAGCGCACGCCGTCCGAATTTCATTAGGGCTCGTCAAAAATGAAATACGGCGACCCGATGGTAGTTCAATGCAACGCTAATCAATGAGAATTTTGATGGGCATTTTTGCCAAAAAATCAGTGCCCAATAGACAAGGGACCGCCAGGGAGGACGAAACAAAAACGGGTCCCGACAATTTGATATCACCAATGCAAATGGACGCCCTAATCTGACCGATAATGCCCAATGATCCCCCGTTAGCGGCGTAAAATGGCACATCCACCGGAAGAAGCGGACGACATTGTACAGGGAGAATATTATAAATGAGATCCGATATAATAGTCGCCGATGCCCCCGTGTCCACTAACACCCTGACCTCGACCCCATCAATAGATCCGGTAACGACGGATGAACCCGCTGAGGCAGCCACTATTCTGTGCCCCAACTCCGACCATTTAATGTCTCCCCGGTCCCGGCCGAATCGCCCTCTCTGAACCGAATCCCCGAACTCTACTCGGCTCTCCCCCGCCGCAACGCGACGACCCATATGTGCCGAGTATGCGGGCCGAGCATGTGAGGTGCCGCGACTTGCCGGGGTTTGCAGGGACGACTTGGGGCCTTGGTCGTCGTCCAGCCGAGGTCCCATGGCGCGCTGACGTGGGGCGCGGCAACCGGAGGCCACGTGGCCCCGGAGGCCGCAGTTATAGCAGGTGATGACAGTCGTCGGAGATCTCGGTTGCTCCAGCTTGCGGGCCGCTCGCAGAGGCGAACGACCCCCCGATCTCCAGTCCCCCGGTCGTCCCGCGATGAACGCCTCCTCTCGTGGGCTGACGACTTGGGGCACGGTGACAACTGGGCCCGGAGTTGAGGCCACGGCAGCGTTGCAGACGACACCCTGTTTACGTTGAAGGACCTCGTGCGCTTGTATGCTTGTGGCGACCCGTAAGGATGAAATATCGGTCTCATCGGCCGTGTTGATGGGGACCCCCAGGTCCTGCGCCAACTTGAGCAGCTGCTCCAAAACCATGGCATCTTGGCCCTCCTCGTCCATACGAGGGAACGCGGCGTCGGCGAGAGCAAGCAACGCCGTGCGGTAGGCGAGCACGGTCTCCGTGTCCGCCTTCCGTCTTGCATAAAAATGATGGCGGCACGCGGAGGGAGGACCATAGACCTTGGCCATGAGAGCCAGCGCATCTTTGAGCGTGGAGCGGTCCGACCTGCGTGCGGACGTGAAGGCCGCGAGCGCGTTGTCATCCAGCATGGCAGGCAGTGCCCGCAGTGCCGTAGCGTCGGACCAGGCGGACATCTCCTGATGCGCCAAAAATCTGCGCTGAAATTGGCTCCAATCCCCGCCTTCCGCCTTGAAGGCTGACAACGTGGGAAGGCGCTGCTGAAAAATGAAGTTGTCCTCCTCCTCGTGCTTCCTCTCTGCCGCCCCGTCGGTGTGTAAGATGGCGGCCCCATCGGCGGGTGTGTGATGGCGGTCCGCCGCGCGCGTTGGTGACGTCAGCGGGCGCGCATGGAGAACCGCTGCCACGTGGTGATGGCCGTTCCCGCCAAAAGTCGGTGCAGAAGAAATGGCGGCCATCGCCAAATCGTTTTGGCGGGAATCTGCAGGGCGACCCTGCAGAACGTCGGCCGCCGTTCCCGCTCCTCCCGACGAGCTGATCTCCGCCAAGATGGACGCGGCGGCGAGCAGCAGCTCCGCCAGACGGGAGTGCGCTTCGCGAAGCACGGCGTCAGTCCCCCGTGGCTCGTCCGGCGCCGTCGGCGGATCCTGCCCCGTGGGCAACTCCTCTTCCTCACCCCCCGATGCCAGTTGACCCGCGTCGTCGAGGTTGTCCCCGTGGTCAATCCCTTGGGTCCGACGGTTCCTCCTTGTATCCATGCTTGGAAGACCGTTTCACTTCTGACGCCAGTTGAAGTATGGGAATTGACGGCAGGAACTTCTTGACGGGAACACACTTTTATTAAATCTTTGCGTATCAAAATACAACGTGTAGTCTCCTTCTCCGACTTCACACTCCACCACTCTCGTGTAAACTCTAGGCCTCTGGCTACACACGATACCCTTCACTCGTGTAGACCCTATGCCTCTGGCCACACACTACACTCGCCTCTGGGTTACACAGAGTCCCGGTCCCGTTAGGACAGCGGGACTAGGTACCGCAGGGCCCTAGGTCTTCATCCCCGTCTTCATTCTTCGCTGGTTACACACTGCCCTCACGCCTGTGTGCATCCCCTTTTATAGCCCCTGCTCACGAGAGGCGGAGCTGATGCGTACTTCAACGTGAGCATCGCTCCTTAATGAACCAATCACGACGCACTCTCTCTACGATCCGTTTTCCCCAGCGCGTGTTAACACTCCTCCACCAATCACACCGCGCTGCCACCCGATCACTCCCTCTCAGCACGTCACCGGCCCACAGCCAATCAGTACCCCGTAACCCACGACCCCGCGCTGACCCCTGATCCTCCACCGTCAGCGCGCGTCACCACCTACACAACCAATCATCACGCGCTGGCATACGATCTCTAATCCCAGCGCGTATCACCTCTACACATACGTACTCATCGTCAAGAAGCAGCCCGTAAAGAGCCGCATGCGGCTCCGGAGCCGTAGGTTGCCGACCCCTGGTCTAGTGTATAGTGTAGTGTATAGTGTAGTGTATAGTGTAGTGTATAGTGTAGTGTATAGTGTAGTGTATAGTGTAGTGTATAGTTTAGTGTATAGTGTAGTGTATAGTGCAATGTATAGTGCAGTGTATAGTAGTGTAGTGTATAGTGTAGTGTATAGTGTAGTGTATAGTGTAGTGTATAGTTTAGTGTATAGTGTAGTGTATAGTGTAGTGTATAGTGCAGTGTATAGTAGTGTAGTGTATAGTTTAGTGTATTGTGTAGTGTATAGTGTAGTGTATAGTTTAGTGTATAGTGTAGTGTATAGTGCAGTGTATAGTAGTGTAGTGTATAGTTTAGTGTAGTGTATAGTGTAGTGTATAGTTTAGTGTATAGTGTATAGTGTAGTGTATAGTGCAGTGTATAGTAGTGTAGTGTATAGTGTAGTGTATTGTGTAGTGTATAGTGTAGTGTATAGTTTAGTGTATAGTGTAGTGTATAGTGTAGTGTATAGTGCAGTGTATAGTAGTGTAGTGTATAGTTTAGTGTATTGTGTAGTGTATAGTGTAGTGTATAGTGTATAGTGTAGTGTATATTAGTGTATAGTGTAGTGTAGTGCGTAGTGTAGTGTATAGTGTAGTGTATAGTAGTGTAGTGTAGTTCGTAGTGTAGTGTATAGTGGTATAGTGTATAGTGTAGTGTATAGTGTAGTGTATAGTGTAGTGTATAGTGTAGTTTATAGTGTAGTGTATAGTGTAGTGTATAGTGTAGTGTATAGTGTAGTGTAGTGTATACTGTAGTGTATAGTAGTGTAGTGTAGTTCGTAGTGTAGTGTATAGTAGTATAGTGTAGTGTATAGTGTAGTGTATAGTGTAGTGTATAGTGTAGTGTAGTTCGTAGTGTAGTGTATAGTGTAGTGTAAACTGCTACGTGGTGCAGGGAGTAAACATCGCCACTGCGGAGACAAAGCCGGCAGGGCGTGGTGCTGGCCACCCACCCCCTCGTGTGACACTCGCTAACAGCACTTGTCCCAACAGTCTGTTAAGGCCACACGGGGGACCTTTGTCTCTGTGTACGTGCGTGTGCGTGGCCAGATGTGAAAGTGACGAGGAAGGTAGTGACGGAGGCCGACGGCACCTTCGCCGTGACGTCCGTCCTGCGCTACAAACTGCGGTGGTGGGATGCGAGAGCCGGCTACCGCTGCGTGGTGAACTACGCCATGCCAGGCGGCAGGAGCGAGGCCGTTGCCTCGGAGACGATCCACGTGAAGGTGCATTGTGAGTACGGGGGGGGGGGGCACCAGACGGAGCGAAGTACAACAGACGGATGTGTATGATGGGTACCACAACAAGACATGCCTGACGGACCATCTTATTGGGTTAAGGCCAAATGAAACACAGAGACTACCGCTACTCGTGAAGATTTGACTCTTGAACGTTCAGAGAGACGCTCAAACCTTTTAGAAAGTCCAGTTGCTTGTTTGGACCGCAATAGATGGCGGAGGTGGCGTCTGCATCTGCAGAACACGAACAACGAGTGGCATCTACATCTGCAGAACAGTGGCAATTGACGATGATTATGACGGTAAGTGGCATAGTTATCAATGACGACGACGTAACTGACGATGATTTGCGATGGTGAGTGGCACCGCGAGTCTATGCCGGCGGTGGTGGGATGCGTAGATACACCCCGCGGGAGGGTGGCCCTCATCCTGGAGTCTCACCGCGAGGCGGCCGTGAAGGAGGGCGACACGGTCGTGTTGAGGTGCCGTGCTGATGGATTCCCCCCTCCCGAGATCGACTTCTACCGGGTGAGAAGGCGGCGATGATGACGATGATGATGATGATTATGATGATGATGACGGTGATGATGATGATGACGATGATGACGATGATGATGACGACGATGACGATGATGACGATGATGATGACGACGATGATGACGACGATGATGACGACGATGATGATGATGATGACGATGATGATGATGACGACGATGATGATGATGACGATGATGATGACGACGATGATGACGACGATGATGATGACGACGATGATGACGATGATGACGATGATGATGATGACGACGATGATGACGACGACGCAGATGACGCAGACGACGCAGACGACGACTGCTGAGCGTGTTGCCGCTGTGGGCCGCTGCTGCAGCTCATGGCAGCGTGAGATGGAGTGTGAGGTGGAGTGTGAGGTGGAGTGTGAGGTGGAGTGTGAGGTGGAGTGTGAGGTGGAGTGTGAGGTGGAGTGTGAGGTGGAGTGTGGGGGCAGTCACAGGGCAGCCTCCCGCTCTCGGTTGGGGGCAGTGGAACGAGGCTCACAACGGCGACGCCGCGGGAGACATTTTTTTCGTCCCCCCCCCCAAAGAGGCCGTTGAAGTTTGTTTTGCCGCCTCCTCTGCCGTCCCCGCCATCCCCGCCGTCCCCCGGCCCGTCAGAGCTCCCCGACGCGGGTGGACTACGGCCACGCGGCCGCCGGGAATGCGCTCACCCTGCCCGCCGTCAGCCGCGACCACAGCGGCACCTACGGCTGTCGCGTCCGCGGCGGCCGCGACCCGCCCGACAGCAGCGTGGATCTCCTGGTGCATTGTGAGCGGCGGGGGGGGACGCGGGAGGGAGAGACTTTGCGTGAGGCCGCGTTTCTGCGAGCGAGGAGGAGGAGGAGGCGACGTTACGAAAGAAATCGACGGTCTCGGGAGTTTTTCGAGCGGATTTTTAAGACGTCCTGGGCCCGGGCGTCGAACCCACGTCGTCGGGAGACGACTCGCTCGCAAGCGAACCGTGCCTCTCCAGCGTCGCGCGTCGGGGAATCCCGGGGGGCGCGTCGGACGTCGTCTTGTTATCGTCGTCGTCGTCACGTTACGGAGACGCGACTCCGACTCGGACGTCCGCGACGCGCAAAGAGCTCTGCGGCTCGTCGGATTCCTCCGCACGGACGTTGCGACTGCGAGCGAACGGCGCCGCTTGGCCCGGAGTAAAAGTCGATCGTCTGTCCTCCTCGGCAGACGCGGACGACGTGAAGCCGCTGGGCCCCACCGAGGCGACCCGGCTCACGGCCGGGGACGTCGTGCAGGTGGCCAGCGCCGCCGCCTCGTCCTCCTCGTCGCCCGCCGGGATACCCACCCTCACGTGGACACAGGTGCCCCGTCCGTGTCACCATCACCCTCCCACCGTCACCCCCCCACCGTGACCCCAACACCGCCCCCCCCACCACCCCCACCACCGCCGACCCCACCGTGCCAACACCCGAGTTTGATTCCCGCTCACAGCCAGCAGCAGCGATTATCTGAACCGGTCCTGGGCCTCCCCTAGGTCTACTCAACCTCTAATTAGTACTTGTAGTAAAGATCGCTAGCACGCGGGAGACAAAGGCGGCGGAGGCGGTGGTGGAGGTGGTGGTGACGGTGGTGACGGTGGTCGAGGTGGTGGAGGTGGTGGTGACGGTGGTGACGGTGGTGACGGTGGTGGAGGTGGTGGTGGTGGTGGTGGTGGTGACGGTGGTGATGGTGGTGGAGGTGGTGGTGGTGGAGGTGGTGGTGGTGGTGGTGGAGGTGGTGGTGGTGGAGGTGGTGGTGGAGGTGGTGGTGACGGTGGTGGAGGTGGTGACGGTGGTGGAGGTTGTGGTGGTGACGGTGGCGACGGTGGTGGAGGTGGTGGAGGTGGTGGTGGAGGTGGTGGTGGCGGTGACGGTGGGTGGCATTTACAAAGATGGGAATGAGATGAGTGGATGTTGTGTGTTTATATTGGAGTGCGCATGGCACCTGCTGGGTCTGCCTCGTGACCTCCTCCTCCCTGTGGGCGTTCGACACTTGGCCCGGCCTCAACGTGCACGTGGCCTGGTACAAGCGCCGTAGTGACGTCACCGCCACTTAGTGGTGTGTGTGTTGTTGTGTGTGGGTGAGTGTACGCGCGTGTGTGTGTGGGTGAGTGTACGCATGTGTACAACGAGGTGGTGACAGTCGGTGGCGTTAACGAGACAATCGGATTGATGGGGGGGTGGCGCGTAGGGGGAGAGAGCGATCGCCTTCGATGTCAGCCGTGAGCCCCGAGTGGACGTTCTACCTCGTCACGGCAGGGCCTGCTCACTTGAGGGCAGGACCACCGCTGATGTCCCACAGCACGAGACGGATGTCATTGACCCCTCGAGCCACTGGCTGAGTCATGCCCCCAACCAGGATGTCAATATGCAACCTTCTTGATTGCAAGTCAGGTGCTTTAGCCACTGACCCAACGAGAGACAAGCCGTTACAATCACAAAGGGCGATCGGAAACGCAGTGACGGATTTGCAAAACGTTGAGTTTCAGTCGCCCGTCGTCTCCCTGGCGGCGCTCCGCGTCCCCCAGGCGGGGACGGCGCTGTCCGGCGGGGCCACGTTGACCCTCAGGAGCGCCACGCCGTCCAAGATGGGCGCCACCTCGCCGCCCTCCGTGCCGGGCCTGGGGAGGTCGCGACCCGTCAAGGTCGCTGTGGGAGGTCACCGGGGCGGTGAGAGGCTGACGACGATGACGCTGAGTCTCTCTCTCTCTCTCATAGCACCAGCAGAGACTCCACTCTCTCTCTCTCTCATAGCACCAGCAGAGACTCCACTCTCTCTTTTTTTTACGATCAGTGGAAACAATAAGATGCTCGGTGTATTCGGCACTTTGCTCCGTTCATCATTTCGTAAAAGTTTTTTTTTAACTGGGCTTTATGTAACCCCCCCCCCTCTAGCTCACTCTCTCGCTCTCTCTCGCTCGCTCACTCACTCTCCGCTCTCTCCGCTCTCCACGTTGTCTCCTCTCTCTCTCCGTGCTCTCCGTCCACACTGTCTCTCTCTCATTTTTGTTCCCACTCGCAGGAGGAGCGGAGGAAGCAGAAGCGTCGGGACGTGGGCTGCCGTGGCTCATCATCATCCTCAACCTCCTCCTCGTTGTCGTCCCCCCCCTCTTCCTCGTCTTCTGCGTTTGGGCGCTTCGTCACGTTTGCTCGAGAGAGCCGCGAGAGGTCGCGGTCGTGGCCAGCGAGCGAAGACGCTGACCGCACGGCAGCGGTGCGGCAGCAGCAGCAGCAGCACAGATCCCAGTGAGCGCCCACCGGCCGCTGGGCGCGTTGTGCGATCACTGACGAGGTGGCGGCGGCGGTGGTGGTGGTAGTGGGGTGATGGTGGTGGTGGTAGTGGGGTGATGGTGGTGGTGGTGGTGATGGTGGTGGTGGTGATGGTGGTGGTGGTGATGGTGGTGGTGGTGGTGATGGTGGCAGTGGTTGTGGTGGTAGCGGCGGCGGCGGTTGTGGTGGTTGTGGTGGTTGTGGTGGTTGTGGTGGTGGTTATGATGTGCGTTGCATTAGCACTGCACTGAGATTGACGTCCCACAGTGGTTTATAATAAAGGCTGTCACGAGTTCAATCTGCCTCGTGATTTACAATGCCATTTACGCATGCACTTTTAAAACATTAGATTGACAACTCATTTGTTTAGAAGTGAGTTTTGTGTTTAGTTTGGTGTCGTTCCCTCTCACCGCCGATGAGTGCGGTTGGCTACGTACGCTGCGAAACAAGTTCAACACGCTGCACACGATGTACACATCTTTAGCAGGCCACTGGAACCGGCTTGTCTCTCATTATCTCTCGCTGTGCTGTATCCGTTCATGTCTGCATCTCTCTCTGTCAGCATGCTTGGCCATACATCTGCAGTGGGCAGAACGGAGAGCGAGACTTCTTTAGAGGCAACACGTTTATTATAACAACGTGACCCTAACACGAAGGGGTAACGGCCCCTTCCACTCGATACTCGACGTAGGTCACGGCTTTGGGTCTTCAAGTACTACACGACAACAGCCAGCCGGACACGCTCAGGGCTCCTCCGGCTTGTATAGTCAGTCCCGGCTCTGGAGCAGACCGGTGGACACGGCAGCCAAAGGAGAGAATTCCACCCCGCGAAGACGTCCAAGAGAGAGATGGAGCGATTAGCTCGGCTCGTGTGCAGGCGATGGATTCTGACGAAATCCTAGGACTGAGAGTGGGGGTTGGGACTTCATACAGCAGTGGGTAGACAATTGCTGGTCACGTGGCGATGTACTACATGAGCTTGCATTGTTTGCACAGGGAGGCATTCTTCCAGACACGACCGACAAAACGATTGTTTAATTGTCAAGAGCTGGAACATCTTGCCAAGAGCTGGAACATCTTGTCAAGAGCTGGAACATCTTGTCAAGAGCTGGAACATCTTGCCAAGAGCTGGAACATCTTGCCAAGAGCTGGAACATCTTGCCAAGAGCTGGAACATCTTGCCAAGAGCTGGAACATCTTGTCAAGAGCTGGAACATCTTGCCAAGAGCTGGAACATCTTGCCAAGAGCTGGAACATCTTGCCAAGAGCTGGAACATCTTGCCAAGAGCTGGAACATCTTGCCAAGAGCTGGAACATCTTGTCAAGAGCTGGAACATCTTGTCAAGAGCTGGAACATCTTGTCAAGAGCTGGAACATCTTGTCAAGAGCTGGAACATCTTGCCAAGAGCTGGAACATCTTGTCAAGAGTTGGAACATCTTGTCAAGAGCTGGAACATCTTGCCAAAAGCTGGAACATCTTGCCAAGAGCTGGAACATCTTGCCAAGAGCTGGAACATCTTGTCAAGAGCTGGAACATCTTGTCAAGAGCTGGAACATCTTGTCAAGAGCTGGAACATCTTGTCAAGAGCTGGAAAATCTTGCCAAGAGCTGGAACATCTTGTCAAGAGCTGGAACATCTTGCCAAGAGCTGGAACATCTTGTCAAGAGCTGGAACATCTTGTCAAGAGCTGGAACATCTTGCCAAGAGCTGGAACATCTTGTCAAGAGCTGGAACATCTTGTCAAGAGCTGGAACATCTTGTCAAGAGCTGGAACATCTTGCCAAGAGCTGGAACATCTTGTCAAGAGCTGGAACATCTTGCCAAGAGCTGGAACATCTTGTCAAGAGCTGGAACATCTTGCCAAGAGCTGGAACATCTTGTCAAGAGCTGGAACATCTTGTCAAGAGCTGGAACATCTTGCCAAGAGCTGGAACATCTTGTCAAAAGCTGGAACATATTGCCAAGAGCTGGAACATCTTGCCAAGAGCTGGAACATCTTGTCAAGAGCTGGAACATCTTGCCAAGAGCTGGAACATCTTGCCAAGAGCTGGAACATCTTGTCAAGAGCTGGAACATCTTGCCAAGAGCTGGAACATCTTGCCAAGAGCTGGAACATCTTGTCAAGAGCTGGAACATCTTGTCAAGAGCTGGAACATCTTGCCAAGAGCTGGAACATCTTGCCAAGAGCTGGAACATCTTGCCAAGAGCTGGAACATATTGTCAAGAGCTGGAACATCTTGTCAAGAGCTGGAACATCTTGTCAAGAGCTGGAACATCTTGCCAAGAGCTGGAACATCTTGCCAAGAGCTGGAACATCTTGCCAAGAGCTGGAACATCTTGTCAAGAGATGGAACATCTTGTCAAGAGCTGGAACATCTTGCCAAGAGCTGGAACATCTTGCCAAGAGCTGACACATCTTGTCAAGAGCTGGAACATCTTGCCAAGAGCTGGAACATCTTGCCAAGAGCTGGAACATCTTGCCAAGAGCTGGAACATCTTGCCAAGAGCTGGAACATCTTGCCAAGAGCTGACACATCTTGTCAAGAGCTGGAACATCTTGCCAAGAGCTGGAACATCTTGTCAAGAGCTGGAACATCTTGCCAAGAGCTGGAACATCTTGTCAAGAGCTGACACATCTTGCCAAGAGCTGGAACATCTAGCCAAGAGCTGGAACATCTTGCCAAGAGCTGGAACATCTTGTCAAGAGCTGACACATCTTGTCAAGAGCTGGAACATCTTGCCAAGAGCTGGAACATCTTGCCAAGAGCTGGAACATCTTGCCAAGAGCTGGAACATCTTGTCAAGAGCTGACACATCTTGTCAAGAGCTGGAACATCTTGCCAAGAGCTGGAACATCTTGCCAAGAGCTGGAACATCTTGTCAAGAGCTGGAACATCTTGCCAAGAGCTGGAACATCTTGCCAAGAGCTGGAACATCTTGTCAAGAGCTGACACATCTTGCCAAGAGCTGGAACATCTTGCCAAGAGCTGGAACATCTTGCCAAGAGCTGGAACATCTTGTCAAGAGCTGACACATCTTGTCAAGAGCTGGAACATCTAGCCAAGAGCTGGAACATCTTGCCAAGAGCTGGAACATCTTGTCAAGAGCTGGAACATCTTGTCAAGAGCTGACACATCTTGTCAAGAGCTGGAACATCTTGTCAAGAGCTGGAACATCTTGTCAAGAGCTGGAACATCTTGCCAAGAGCTGGAACATCTTGTCAAGAGCTGGAACATCTTGCCAAGAGCTGGAACATCTTGCCAAGAGCTGGAACATCTTGCCAAGAGCTGGAACATCTTGTCAAGAGCTGGAACATCTTGTCAAGAGCTGGAACATCTTGTCAAGAGCTGGAACATCTTGTCAAGAGCTGGAACATCTTGCCAAGAGCTGGAACATCTTGCCAAGAGCTGGAACATCTTGTCAAGAGCTGGAACATCTTGTCAAGAGCTGGAACATCTTGTCAAGAGCTGGAACATCTTGCCAAGAGCTGGAACATCTTGTCAAGAGCTGGAACATCTTGCCAAGAGCTGGAACATCTTGCCAAGAGCTGGAACATCTTGTCAAGAGCTGGAACATCTTGCCAAGAGCTGGAACATCTTGTCAAGAGCTGGAACATCTTGTCAAGAGCTGGAACATCTTGCCAAGAGCTGGAACATCTTGTCAAGAGCTGGAACATCTTGTCAAGAGCTGGAACATCTTGTCAAGAGCTGGAACATCTTGCCAGAGCTGGAACATCTTGTCAAGAGCTGGAACATCTTGTCAAGAGCTGGAACATCTTGTCAAGAGCTGGAACATCTTGCCAAGAGCTGGAACATCTTGTCAAGAGCTGGAACATCTTGCCAAGAGCTGGAACATCTTGTCAAGAGCTGGAACATCTTGCCAAGAGCTGGAACATCTTGTCAAGAGCTGGAACATCTTGTCAAGAGCTGGAACATCTTGCCAAGAGCTGGAACATCTTGTCAAGAGCTGGAACATCTTGCCAAGAGCTGGAACATCTTGCCAAGAGCTGGAACATCTTGTCAAGAGCTGGAACATCTTGCCAAGAGCTGGAAAATCTTGCCAAGAGCTGGAACATCTTGTCAAGAGCTGGAACATCTTGCCAGGAGCTGGAACATCTTGCCAAGAGCTGGAACATCTTGCCAAGAGCTGGAACATCTTGCCAAGAGCTGGAACATCTTGCCAAGAGCTGGAACATCTTGTCAAGAGCTGGAACATCTTGTCAAGAGCTGGAACATCTTGCCAAGAGCTGGAACATCTTGCCAAGAGCTGGAACATCTTGCCAAGAGCTGGAACATCTTGTCAAGAGATGGAACATCTTGTCAAGAGCTGGAACATCTTGCCAAGAGCTGGAACATCTTGCCAAGAGCTGACACATCTTGTCAAGAGCTGGAACATCTTGCCAAGAGCTGGAACATCTTGCCAAGAGCTGGAACATCTTGCCAAGAGCTGGAACATCTTGCCAAGAGCTGGAACATCTTGCCAAGAGCTGACACATCTTGTCAAGAGCTGGAACATCTTGCCAAGAGCTGGAACATCTTGTCAAGAGCTGGAACATCTTGCCAAGAGCTGGAACATCTTGTCAAGAGCTGACACATCTTGCCAAGAGCTGGAACATCTAGCCAAGAGCTGGAACATCTTGCCAAGAGCTGGAACATCTTGTCAAGAGCTGACACATATTGTCAAGAGCTGGAACATCTTGCCAAGAGCTGGAACATCTTGTCAAGAGCTGGAACATCTTGTCAAGAGCTGGAACATCTTGCCAAGAGCTGGAACATCTTGCCAAGAGCTGGAACATCTTGTCAAGAGCTGACACATCTTGTCAAGAGCTGGAACATCTTGCCAAGAGCTGGAACATCTTGCCAAGAGCTGACATCTTGTCAAGAGCTGGAACATCTTGCCAAGAGCTGGAACATCTTGCCAAGAGCTGGAACATCTTGCCAAGAGCTGGAACATCTTGCCAAGAGCTGGAACATCTTGCCAAGAGCTGACACATCTTGTCAAGAGCTGGAACATCTTGCCAAGAGCTGGAACATCTTGTCAAGAGCTGGAACATCTTGCCAAGAGCTGGAACATCTTGTCAAGAGCTGACACATCTTGCCAAGAGCTGGAACATCTTGCCAAGAGCTGGAACATCTTGCCAAGAGCTGGAACATCTTGTCAAGAGCTGGAACATCTTGCCAAGAGCTGGAACATCTTGCCAAGAGCTGGAACATCTTGTCAAGAGCTGACACATCTTGCCAAGAGCTGGAACATCTTGCCAAGAGCTGGAACATCTTGTCAAGAGCTGGAACATCTTGCCAAGAGCTGGAACATCTTGTCAAGAGCTGACACATCTTGTCAAGAGCTGGAACATCTAGCCAAGAGCTGGAACATCTTGCCAAGAGCTGGAACATCTTGTCAAGAGCTGGAACATCTTGTCAAGAGCTGACACATCTTGTCAAGAGCTGGAACATCTTGTCAAGAGCTGGAACATCTTGTCAAGAGCTGACACATCTTGCCAAGAGCTGGAACATCTTGCCAAGAGCTGGAACATCTTGCCAGAGCTGCACTAAGTGCAGAACCGAATGTTAAAGTGACCAGGGGGTTTTGTTGATACTCTACAGTCATTGTTGACTGTAGAGAACATCACAACTGGGTCCACGTGTGCGAGTCTCTACGCACGACGATGGGCCTCTGTGCAAGTCTACGGTGAGCGGGCCGAGACCAGTAGTTCACGACTCTTCCAAACCCAGTAGAATCACGGGCAGATGAGACCCGGGTTTAAACCCTGCCTCTCAGCGGCGCCGGCTGCACGTCTCGAACCCCGCCTGAGCCACCCGGCCCTTCTCACAATGCCGCAAAGCTTCCATCACAGTGGCTGTTGACGACGATGGAGATGGCCGAGTATCCCAGTGTAGGACGACAGAGCTTGGGCGATCGTCTGCGGCTTCTTGCCCCCTCCGTGTCGCCCTCGGAGAGGGGGGCGAGTAGAAATTGCGCGCCTTTATAAACCTACGTGTACGCGATGTTCACGCTTGTGTGTAAGCTGCCAATGAACGTGCACACACACGAGAGAAAAAACAAGTACTGACAGAAACTTGAACAGGCCGCCGCCTGCGATTAACCAAGTGCATTGACACCATTGGAACCTCATTTGCCAGTAAAAAATATGATAATTGTTTTTTTACCCTTCTATCTGGCTACAAAACTGACACCTTTTTTTTACGAGAAGTCATGTTTGCATAGACCACAATACCTGCAGCCATAATGCAAACAAAAAACATAACTCTGATAATGTGTGCACTGTCCTTGAAGTTGATTGACCTGCGCCTTTTGGCGTCATCTGGTTCAACCCATGTGAGACTAGGCTCTAAGGAAAGCTGTCTCGCGTGTTGACCAATCAACTTCAAGGACAGTGCATAACATTATCAGAGTTATGTTTTTGTTTGCATTATGGCTGCAGGTATTGTGGTCTATGCAAACATGACTCCTTGTAAAAAAAGGTGTCAGTTTTGTTGCCAGATAGAAGGGTAAAACACCAAGTGCATAGAGTTAATGATCTCAGCCCGGTCTCCAATGACAGCGCAGCATCATCCTCGAGTGACATTTGGCTCTGCGCTGATCTCCATCACAGCCGAGAATCAGAACATTGCCTCGACCGTCACGTGACCCCCCCAACGTCGCAGAGAGAGCGGGAAAGTGCCGCCCTCTTCTCAGTGTGGCTCAGAGAGGTCACGTGTTGAAGAGGGGACCTCAAGAGGTAGCTTTGCGACATCTGCTCCTGTGGTTCTGTGGGGGTGGGCGGGGTTGGCGATCTCCAACGGGGCAGGATTCCTCCCCCCCCCCCCCCCCCCCCACGAGGATACAGACGGCGACAAACGGAGACAAGAACGCGCTCCGATTAAGGTGCGAACGGGCCGTGTTAGTGAAATGGCAGAAGCCTAAAAACGTACAAACTGCAGCAAGTATCCGGAACAGCAAATATCAACGGCCAAGTGTCCCAAGCATGAACGTCAAACAACAAAAGCCACTTCCAGAACGAGGCGGCTTCAGTGTGCGGCGACTTGACCGAGCACATCGCGTGCGTCAACGGGGAGTGCTGGAGGTCAGCGGCCCAGCGGCGGACCCAAGTTTCACTCGCGACCGTGGCCAACATCAGCGGCAGATGATATTGGTCCTGGGCCTCCCCTAGGTCGGCTCGGCCTTAAAACGAGTTACCTGGTGCGTGGCCGGGCGTGCAGATCGTCACGCCAGCCCCCCCCCCCCCCCCCCCCATAGCTGCCCCCGTACCATCCTGGACAGGCGCTTGCCAACAGCACAGCCAGTTAACGACTACGGGGGGTTGGTGGGGGGTTGGTGGGGGGGGAGTCGCTGCACACCGCCCCACAACGCCGGTGACACAGGTTCAATTCAGACCATGGCCGCCACCGTTTCACTGATTAGCATCCGAACCTGGCATGGATCACAACCCCCCCCAACCCGCCCCACCCACCTCCCCCCCCCACCCCCCCCACCCACCCCCACCCACCCCGCCCCCCCACCCACCACCCAACCCGCCCCCCCCCACCCACCCACCACCCAACCCGCCAGCCCCCCACCCACCCACCCCCCACCCCCCCGCCCCCCTAATCACACTGCAGGTCGTTGAGTCGCACGTCGAGGTCGGCAGCGGCCATCTTGCCTGCGGCCATCTTGTCTGCGGACACGCTGAGCGAGCCGCCCGTGGCTGGCAGAGCTGCGGGGGGGTGGGGGGTGGAGGGGGTGGGTGGGGGGGAGACACACGGAGAGAAAACAGCGACGGTCAAGCGCACGCACACGGAACACCGCCACTCGCACAAAGACAAAGGGTCCCGTGCAGCCTTCACTAATTGGAGGGGCGAGTGCCGTCAGCGAGCGGCACCTACGAAGGCTGCCGGCGCCGTGGCGCACGAGGGGGGGGCGGGTGGCCAGCACCACGCCCGGCCGCCTTTGTCTCTCCCCCAGTGCTAGCGATGTTCACTACACACCGCACCGGGTACTCGTTTGAGGCCGAGTCGACCTAGGGGAGGGCCCAGGACCGGCTGGGTGGGTGGCTGGGTGGGTGGCTGGTGGGTGAGTGGGTGGCTGGGGTGGGTGGGTGGCTGGGTGGGTGGCTGGGTGGCTGGGTGGAGTGGGTGGCTGGGTGGGTGGCTAAGTGGGTGGCTGGGTGGCTGGGTGAGTGGGTGGCTGGGTGGGTGGCTGGGTGGGTGGCTGGGTGGGTGGCTGGGTGGCTGGGTGGGTGGGTGGGTGGCTGGGTGGGTGGCTGGGTGGCTGGGTGAGTGGGTGGCTGGGTGGGTGGCTGGGTGGGTGGCTGGGTGGGTGGCTGGGTGGGTGGCTGGGTGGGTGGCTGAGTGGGTGCTGGGTGGGTGGCTGGGTGGGTGGGTGGCTGGGTGGGTGGCTGAGTGGGTGGGTGGCTGGGTGGGTGGCTGAGTGGGTGGGTGGCTGGGTGGGTGGCTGAGTGGTGGGTGGCTGGGTGGGTGGCTGAGTGGGTGGGTGGCTGGGTGGGTGGCTGGGTGGGTGGCTGGGTGGGTGGCTGGGTGAGTCGCGAAATGAAGAAACTCACTCGAGAGTTTGTCCGTGAGGCCGAGTCCCAGCTCGTCCAGCACCTGGCTGACGATGGCATCACTGCATGCACACGCACACAGACAACGTACACACACACACAGACACACGCGGAGACAGACACACACACACGCACACACACACGCACACAGACACACACAGACACACACGCACATAGACACACACACGTACACACAAAGATAAAGATCCCCCGTGTAGCCTTAACAGACTGTAGGGGCAAGTGCTGTTAGCGAGCACCTATGAAGGCCGGAACGGTACACGAGGGGGTGGGTGGCCAGCACCACGCCCGACCGCCTTTGTCTCCCCAGTGGCGATGTTTACACACCGCACCAGGTACTCATTTAAGGCTGAGTCGACCTAGGTGAGGCCCAGGAACGGTTCAGATAATCGTCAACGGTGGTGGCCGTGAGGTGTACAGTCTGGAAAGTACCCACATGGCAAATTTCCAGTGTGTTGCATGTCGGGAAGTACGCTAAACATTTTGAACAGACACACACATACACACAACTTTGCCTTTGATAATTGTTTTTTACCCTTCTATCTGGCAACAAAACTGACACCTTTTTACAAGGAGTCATGTTTGCATAGACCACAATACCTGCAGTCATAATGCAAACAAAAAACATAACTCTGATAATGTATGCACTGTCCTTGAAGTTGATTGGTTCCACACCCGAGACAGCTTTCCTTAGAGCCCTAGTCTCACATGGTGTTGGACCAGATGACGCCAAAAGGCGCACAACTCAAAGACAATGCACCGTCAGAGTATGAGAGCTCGCGACTCCCCCCCATCACCTCTCCTCCTCCTCCTCGTCGCCCTCATCGCCCACGGCGTCGTCGATGGCGTCGTTCATCACCTCCTCCTTCACGTCCGTGATCTCCGACTGCTCCTCAAACTCCATCATGATCTTGTGGACCTGCGGAAGCGTGAGCTGGGCGGTGTGCGACACGCGCGCCGGCGGAGACGAGTCATCGGTCGTGTAGTGTATAGTGTAGTATAGTGTAGTGTATAGTGTAGTGTATAGTAGTGTAGTGTATAGTAGTGTATAGTGTAGTGTAGTGTATAGTGTAGTGTATAGTAGTGTAGTGTATAGTGTAGTGTATAGTAGTGTAGTGTATAGTGTAGTGTATAGTAGTGTAGTGTATAGTGTAGTGTAGTGCCTCCATAGAGCCCAGTGTGTTCACTTACCGACCATTCCCCTGTTAACGACGGGCTGTTGTCGATGGAGTAAATATTAATGCATCGATTAACCCCGTTTCTTTTAACACGATGTGTTTATAATGTTGTTAGTATCTTTATGAATTAATATGTTCATTGTTTAAATGTTATAAAGAACTTCTTTTGAAGGGTAACTTTCGATGCCATCGGAACAAATTAAGCCTTTTCGCTTAACCACCAGTTTCACGGAACCAATCACCAACGTGAAGAGGGATTTCACTCTAACAATTATAACCCAAGTTCAATAATCAAACATAAATAACCATCTTCTTGGTTCTTTCGGTAAAGTCACGTAGAATGGGAATAATAAAATCATAAAAATAAAACATAATTAACTACAATTTTCACGACGTTTCGGCCACAACGCAAGCAGCTGTCCTCAGGTGAAGACCAGGTCTGTCAGAAAGACAGCGTCTAAATGAAACACCACCAGGCTTGGAAGCGTATATTTAAGCTGCTGGGTTGGAGGGGGAAGAGCGCCTTGACAAAGGAATTTACATATCAAGAGGAAATTAGCATATTTAAGATACAATGTTGAAGAATGGCAGTCGAAGAAGCGTCGATGACATTTTTTAAGTTTTGAAATCCCATCGACGATACTCGTGCCATTTTTGAGTTGCTCCTGTTTGTGTAACGTATCGCTGACCAAATTCTTTTCCGGAAGTACATTCTCAGAGCCAACGAAACGCCCGGAAAATCGCGGTGGTGTTGACGGTGGTCACCCATTAAATTACCAACCAGGCCCAAAAACCCTGCTTAGCTTCCAGACAGCCAATGAGGTGCGGGCGCATGCCGCAGTGATTTGCTCGCAGGCGTAGAGTCGGCATTTCTTCTTCAACGCATGTATTGTTTCTGCTTCCATTGTCCACACTTTGAGTTGTTCCGTGTTACTTTGGTGATCCGGGTGATCACATGCGCAAAATTCTCGTCTCTGGAGTTGGTAAGACAAAGGCGATCAAGCGCGACTCTAGCGCTCACCAAGCTCCGTGCGCGTGCGTGCGAGGCAGCGGGGCCCAGCACACCTACCTGCTGGTTCATGGCGGCCATGGCCCTGGTGACGCCCTTCATGGCCTGGGCCATCGCGCCGTTGGACTTGAGCGTGTGCATCTTGAAGGACACGGCCTGGATGTTGGCTCGCATCACGATGAACTTTTTGATGTGGCGACGCGTGCGCACCAGGTCCTTGGCCATGATCTTGACGGCGTCCTGCCGAGGGCGAGGGTCAGGGCGGTGGGCTCAGGGCGATGGGGTCAACAGAGCGATAAGAAACGCGACAAGGGAGATGGACACGGGCGACAGAGACGGAGAGAGGGCGAAAGACACAGGCAGGAATAACGAGACACACAGAAACAGCGAGACAGAAAGATCCACACACGAAGAAAGTAGGACACTGAGACCAAGCCACGGAGAGACAAACACAAAAACAGAAAGATCCACACACGAAGGGCACAAGACACACGACAGAGAGACAGAGCTGAGACAAAAATAGAGACACAGAGAGATATGGGGAAAGAGGCACGTACAGAGAGAGAGAGTGTGTCTGTCACATGGAGTTGGGCACATTCCATTCCCAAACTCAAAGTTGCCGACCCTTACCCGCCTCCTCCTCCACCCTGCACACGTGTCCCACCCATCACCCTGCACACGTGTCCCACCCATCACCCTGCACACGTGTCCCACCCATCACCCTGCACACGTGTCCCACCCATCACCCTGCACACGTGTCCCACCCATCACCCTGCACACGTGTCCCACCCATCACCCTGCACACGTGTCCCACCCATCACCCTGCACACGTGTCCCACCCATCACCCTGCACACGTGTCCCACCCATCACCCTGCACACGTGTCCCACCCATCACCCTGCACACGTGTCCCACCCATCACCCTGCACACGTGTCCCACCCATCACCCTGCACACGTGTCCCACCCATCACCCTGCACACGTGTCCCACCCATCACCCTGCACACGTGTCCCACCCATCACCCTGCACACGTGTCCCACCCATCACCCTGCACACGTGTCCCACCCATCACCCTGCACACGTGTCCCACCCATCACCCTGCACACGTGTCCCACCCATCACCCTGCACACGTGTCCCACCCATCACCCTGCACACGTGTCCCACCCATCACCCTGCACACGTGTCCCACCCATCACCCTGCACACGTGTCCCACCCATCACCCTGCACACGTGTCCCCACCCATCACCCTGCACACGTGTCCCACCCATCACCACCTCCCGCTAATCCCGACTCCACCCACAGCGCTTTCCTCCCCACTGCCACGTAGCTTAGCGAGGGCCCACCAAACTATATACCCGTGCTCCCTCACCATGTGGCCGGCTTTGGCCATCTTCTTGATCTCAGCGACGATCTTCTTCTCCTGCGTCTGCAGCGTCTGTCTCTCGCGCTCCAGGTCTCTCATGGCGCGCGCGAGGGCTCGCTGGTTCCGCCGCACCATCTGCTCCGGAGTCTTTCTCTTTCCACACAGGCAGTCCATGGCTGGCTGCGACTCTGCAGAAACAACGACGACGCCACAAGGCGCAGTTCAACAACGACGACGACCACGTGGTGGTGACGCGCGCCTGTCACCCGACAGCGCTGTGACGAGCGCGGGGCTTGGCCTGGTCGCACACATGTCCAAGCGACGAGTCTCGTCGCTTGGACGCCGAGGTGCCGTGCCCTGCACGGCCAGGAGAGGGCGCTAGAGCGAGCGTGGACTCCTGACAGTGTCCGTGTGTGTGAGTGTCCGTGTGAGTGTCCGTGTGAGTGTCTGTGAGTGTCTGTGTGAGTGTCCGTGTGTGTGTCTGTGTGTGTCTGTGTGAGTGTCTGTGTGAGTGTCCGTGTGTGTGGCGTAGATCGGTGACCCCCCCCTCGCACCACTCCCAAATGTAAACGCTCGTGACGGTGTGCAGGACGTGGGTTCGAATCCCGATCCTGACGCCCATAGAGTTGGAGTTTGTCAGCTCTCCCCACCACCACCACCCCCCACCACCCCCACCACCACCCCCACCACAACCCCCCCCACCACCACCCCCCCCCCCACAACCCTCACCACAACCCTCACCACCCCCCCACCACCACCCCCACCACAACCCACACCACCCCCACCACAACCCTCACCACAACCCCCACCACCCCCACCACCACAACCCCCACCACAATCCTCACCACAACCCCCACCACCCCCACCCCACCACCCACCAGAGGTGGGACAAAGTCATTGTTATGCAAGTCCAAGTCGAGTCTGAAGTCATCAAATTCATGACTCGAGTCTGACTCGAGTCCAAGTCACATGACTCGAGTCCACGCCTCTGCCACCCACCCCCACCACCCCCCCCCCACCACCCCCCCCACCCCCACCACCACCCCCCCACCACCACCCCCACCACAACCCCCACCCCCCACCACCACCCCCACCACAACCCCCCCACCACCCCCCCCCACCCCCACCACCACCCCCCTACCACCACCCCCACCACAACCCCCACCACAACCCTCACCACAACCCCCACCCCCCACCACCACCCCCACCACAACCCCCCCACCACAACCCCCACCACCACCACCCCGCGTCAAGATGACAACAACAACAAGCAGCAACGTTTAGACAAAACATAAACCACAACAAGTCGTCTTGTGAACCATATAAGCGCGTAACGACGACTGCTTCATCACTCAAAGCTGCTCTAGAGGAGTTGTACACCCCGAGCTGTCGCTGCTGTTCAGTGGCCTCAAATACAACGTGTCGCTCCGGGTGATCGCTACAAAGTGTGACCTGTCTTCTTGGTTCTTTCGGTAAAGTCACGTAGAAGGGAAGCAATAAAATAATAAAAATAAAACATCGTAAAATAATTCTCACGACGTTTCGGCCACAACGCAAGCAGCCGTCCTCAGGTGAAGACCAGGTCTGTCGGGGAGACACCTGAGGACGGCTGCTTGCGTTGTGGCCGAAACGTCGTGAGAATTATTTTACGATGTTTTATTTTTATTATTTTATTATTTCCCTTCTACGTGACTTTACCGAAAGAACCAAGAAGATGAATCCCTGCAGTCACGAAAGCTTTAAATCAAAGTATGACCTGTGTTTTGATTTAGTGCGCTGATCTTAAAGGTGCATTGAGAAATTATAATTCTGCGACTGATGCTCCTGCTGCTGCTGTTGTAGTGGAGAGACTCGTGCAGCAGCAGCAGCTGTGGCTGCAGGGTTCTGCTGGTACGTGTTGTTTATGAAGTTTATTGTGAAAACTCCGTCACAGTTCCTATGATCACTGTTTCATTGCTTTCATGGCTTTATTTTGGTGATTTAGAAAAGTGTATTGGTTTAGCCATGTTTGTGTTGTTGTAGTACAGAGTTAGACTGATGGCCTTAATCTAAGTTGTCTTGTGCTTGTTGTTGTTGTTGTTTTTGACCTCACCTCACCACTCATCCCACCACTCATCTCGTCACTCACCTCACCACTTACCTCACCACTCATCCCACCACTCATCCCACCACTCACCTCGTCACCCACCAGTCATCACTCTCCTCATCACTCATCCCACCACTCACCTCACCACTCATCCCACCACTCACCTCACCACTCATCCCACCACTCACCTCGTCACCCACCAGTCACCTCACCACTCACTCCTCACTCATCTCACCACTCGCCACTCATCCCACCGCTCACCACTCATCCCACCACTTATCCCACCACTCACCTCGTCACCCACCAGTCATCACTCTCCTCACCACTCATCCCACCACTCACCACTCATCTCGTCACCCACCACTCATCCCACCACTCACCACTCACCTCGTCACTTCTCGCTGCTTCGACATTTTTAAAACTCCTAGGTGACGTCATCACACACAAGCGTTGCCCCGCTCTCCCTCAGCGACACCGTCTCACCAGGGCGCATCCATCTCAGCTCCTCCCCCCCCATCGCGTTCACTCGCTCTGCAGCTCAGAGCCGGCGTCTTCATTCAGAGCGGAGGAATCCGATGAGCGGTGAAGCGCTTCTTCACAGACGTCCAAGTGCACAGAACGAGATGAGTGCAAAACATGGACGTGGCCAGCAAGCAAGCAAGCCACTGACAATATATGAATATAATAAAGTATGTAAGGACACATTGCACAGGTACAGCACATTGCAGCACTCCCCTGCAAAGAAGACTGGGCGTAGCTCTTCAATACAGATCGTGTATCCAGCAAGTGAATCATTGACCAGCCGTGTTGACACGACGGCTGAGCTCCCAGCGGGGCGGGGGGCGGGGTCTCGCGACTGCCGCGCGCTCAAGAGTTTCGTTGTGACAGCCACTGGGGGGTGCGGGGTGGAGGGGGCGTCATCGCGACTTGTGGAACTTTCACGGTGACTCAGCAGAAGAAGCGCAGTCGTCACGGGGCTTGGAGCGGACAGGGCGTGGAGCAGAACGCCCAAGGGTCGAAATCCACCGGCGTTTCGCTTGCGCTCTGAAGTTCGACGTTTCGCGAGCGATCCCAACAAGACGAGACTCCCGTCGAGGAGGCGATTTGGCCGAGTTGTGTTTGACCAAACTTCACCATTCTGGTGTCGTGATGATGATGGTGGTGGAGGTGATGGTGGTGGAGGTGATGGTGGTGGAGGTGATGGCTTTGGATGGATGAAGACGGCGATTCGCGTGGACGTTTGAAGCGAGAAGCGAGGTAATTCTAGATTATTAGATTAATAAAATAATAAAAATAACTCGATTTTTGTTATTTTCATTTAATATTTATTATTTTATTATTCTATTTTATTATTCTATTTTATTATTCTATTTTTTATTTAAAAAATGTTATTCTATTTTCTTATTACAATTTGTTTTATTTTCACCTACAGAACCAAAGAGTAGAGAAGCGAGGTGCAAACTAATTTTGTCTGGTGTTGATACTGGGCCACACCGAGGATAATGTTGAAGTTTCAAGTCGTTAAACACCAAAGGTGAGGATGGTTGTTGCGTTGTTGTTGTTGTTGTTGCTGTGTACACTCCACAACCGTCGTCGTCGTTGTTGTTGTTGTGATGCACAACAGCGATCGTTCTCGTCGGCAGCGTTCCACTGTCACTTGTCGACGATGTTCGGGCTGCGTGAATAGTGCGGGAGGGTCACAAGACATCCGGACCGAGCCTGTACGACCAAACGCAGCTTTTGCGAATCTTTCACGGAATCGACTTTGGACGACCGAGAGCCTCGCGCGAGATACTTGGCCAAATCCCAGCCGCGGCGCGTGCAAGGCCACGCGGAAGTGACATTCAGAAGTAGTTCCATGACATCCATTCCCCCGGCCCTTTTGCCATTCCCACACAACGCGACAGAGACGAAAATCAGCCCCCCTCCAGCCCCCGTGTTATAGCCTCAGCAGGCTGTCGGGGCAAGTGCCGTCAGCGAGAAGCGGCGCCTACAGAGGCCGGCACGACGCACGTGGGACAGGGTGGCCGGCACCACGCCCGGCCACCTTTGTCTCCCCAGCGGCCATGTCGAGGAACTCTTTTGAGGCTGAGCCGACGCAGGACCGGACCGGTGACGTGGCGCCTACCCCACTCATCCCCCCCCCTCCCCCCGCCCCCCCCACCCGCCCCCCACCCGCCCAACTACCCGCCCCCACCCGCCCCCACCCGCCCCCTACCCGCCCACCTACCCGCCCCCCACCCGCCCCCTACCCGCCCACCTACCCGCCCCCTCCACCCCCCCCCACCCGCCCCCTACCCGCGCACCCACCGTCATCCAGCAGTGGATGGACCAAGGGGGCTGTAGGTTAGCGATGTATATATTATATATACACACAGAGCTGTGTATATATATTATATATAAACACAGAGCTGTGTATATATTATATATAAACACAGAGCTGTATATATATTATATATAAACACAGAGCTGTGTATATATATAATATATAAACACAGAGCTGTATATATATTATATATAATATATAAACACAGAGCTGTGTAAAGCCGAGGCAGCACGGACCCCCACCCACCATCTCACAAATGCCGTGAAAACAAGCGAAGCGAATATTTCAAATGGCCACCTCGGGGAGGCAGTGAAATACTGCGGCGGGCCACGCAAGTTGACACCTTGAGAAGGAAGAAGAGCGGAGCGGTGCGTCAAGGGCGGGGGCCGGGGGAGAGGAGGGACATGCAGTCCCTTGCCCTTGCTGAGGAAGGTGTCTGCCATGGGAGCGTGGAATTTACACCGGTCATTCACTCACTCATCCACCCACTCGTTCACTCACTCATCCGCCCACTCGTTCACTCACTCATCCGCCCACTCGTTCACTCACTCATCCGCCCACTCGTTCGTTCACTCATCCGCCCACTCGTTCGTTCACTCATCCGCCCACTCGTTCGTTCACTCATCCGCCCACTCGTTCGTTCACTCATCCGCCCACTCGTTCGTTCACTCATCCGCCCACTCGTTCGTTCACTCATCCGCCCACTCGTTCGTTCACTCATCGGCCCACTCGTTCGTTCACTCATCCGCCCACTCGTTCGTT